GAAGCCCACAGGGCAGAAAAAACTATTGTAGATGAACAAGAAGTGAACGAAGGCCCACCTACAGTGAACGCAGGGCAAAGTTTTCTACAAAACTTCAAAATTCGGTTCGGACAGTGGACTACGAGATCTTGTAATTGAGCTCCGAGACCGCGCAAAGAGGGTGAAATAGAGATGGCGAGTTGAGAGATGACGTTCGCTGCCGGTAAATGGAGCGCAAGCAGAAAAGGGAAAACTTAAATCCGAAATTTTTAAAGCAAAACATTTCAAAAACCATGCAGAAATCGATAATAGAGGCTGAAGAAAGAATAGCTTCAAGTCTTTACAGTGGTCGGATTATGCACCGGGTTGGGCAGGACTATGGTCGATATTTTAATTGTCCTGTTCAATATCGCTGGATTCACATGTGACGCACGCGACAGCGTAAAACAATAACAAATCCTCACTTTTGCTTCTGCTTCAGCTCCCAGAATCATTTCTCGCGGTATCCATCCGTCTTCACTCATTGTATTCAGCCAAGACACAAGAATCTGAATAAGAGGCTTAACGGCGCGACACTGGATGAAAGCACACGCAATCACAACCTCAAGGCTCAATTCAGGATCATATCTACGGATCAACATATTGTGAAAACCTTCATCCCAAAGGAATCCGCGTGGGAAAAAAGATCGAGAAGGAACCGCCGAAAACAGCTCGTGAGGTCCATAAGGTAAAATGGTTTCGCCACCAACATGGACCTGGAATGAGGTAAAGAGATGAAAGAGAGCGATATCGCCGAACTGAAAAAAAAACAAACTTTGTTGTATCCATGCCAATAACCAATACCTCCAAGCATATTTGATAGGGCTACCTTAGCCATTTTGACTTCAATGTCGGAGTAACCCTAAAGAACTATATTTGAGCACTAGTTTAAAAATCAGCAGGAAAAATTCATAGCGATTTGATAAGATTGAAAACATTTTGCTTATGGTGTTGTTACTGCAGCAAATCAAAGAGCATTTCAATAATAGTTGTATATTATACTTTGTCTCCCGCACCCTGCTGTAGTGCAATTGCAGGAATTGACGTAGCATCGGATCAAAAGCATTTCAAAGAAGGATTCCACGATAAGAACGAAGGTCGAAGAAGGGGAAAATCGCCTAGTGGGGAGACAGGCGGACCTCCTGAGGGTGCGAATTGGCAGCGAAAGATTTGACCTCGGCGATCTAGCATGGCTCACTCTTGGCGCGGTTGGCGGGGTACGCCCACCGACTATCTAATCACTCGCCGCAGGTCTATACGTGGCGAGTGATTAGATAGCAGAGAGAGCGTAGTGTTGAAGAGGGCACAGCGATGAGAGTCGCATCAATGCGGAAATCAACGGGCAAGGAAGGGGTCCCATTCTCGGGTTCTGGGCCGTTTCTCATGGTTTTCTTTCTTTCTGTACCACTCACCATCCCTAATTATTTGAAATGGGTGTTGCTTTTTCATCGTAAATTCTGCCTCAGAGCACACGTGACATCGTCTTTTCATTAAGAATTTCGCTAGTGTGCTACGCCGTGCACCTCATTGCGGGAGAAAGTGTGTACAATGCGAATTAATCGTGTCTAAGCATGTCCTCTCATAAAAAAGCATATACACTGCGTCCCATAATTATAACTCCACCTAAGAATTTTTCCCAAAATCTCACAAATTTAGATGTTTTAGAAAAAGTCTCAATGTGGCAGTGTGTAAATACAAATACGAAATTACCTATAAACATCAACTTCCAACTTGAGACCCCAGGAATTTTTTTCTAATAATTTTTGTTAGAAAGGCCACTTAGCCGACGTAACAAAAAATTTGGCGTGAATTAGTCCAACTCTGGCGAGATAGCATTTTTCAACAGTTTTTGCGACGAGCTGACCTTTTAAAAAGTCAGACAGCATTTTCTATCATACTGTCCCCTTGAGAAGTAGATGTTAGCACAATAAAAAAGTTTGGCGAAACGGAAGTGAAAAATAATAGAAAAACATGAGGTGGAGTTATAATTTTGGGACGTCGGCTGGCCTTTTAACAAAAATTATTAGAAAAAATTCCTGGGATCTCAAGTTGGACACTGATGACTTTTTCAAAACATCTAATTTGTGAGATTTTTAGGAAATGCTTAGGCGGAGTTAAAATT